TCACTGAGGGGAAATGGGGGTTTCAAAGGACAACACTCACTTTCTAGTCTGGGGAGATGTTTGCCTATGTGGGTGCAGTGAACAGATGGGGCTGTCCAAAGCAGACAAGGAAACCCTTGCTGTGGTGGGACTGGTGCCCAACATCAGCCATTCCAAACCTGCTATCCTGCTGAGACTGGAGTGGGTCCAAGGCACCTGAATGGCACTGCCACCAGGAGATGAAAGGCAGAGAGTGTGTGAAGCACTAGATAGGAAGGATGGAGAGGGACCAAACAGTAGAGAGCTCTAGCAGGAAGGGAAGCAGTAATCCCTTGGCTGCTTGACAGGGACTTGACAATTTTGCAGCAAGCAATGTTTCCAGCCTGCAGAATTGGATAGGATTGTCCCAAATAACCAGGTTTCCATCAGAAAATTCCCATTTCCCTGCCTGTTGGCAAGAACATGATCCTGGACACCCCTTGCTGAGGAAAAGCTGTTGCCTCCTCCTTGAAGGAGCATTGCCCAGGGAGTTGAGCTGTAGGGTAGAGCAGTTGCCCTTATAGGAGCAAATATTTATGGATCCGCAGTGGAAAATCTCTAGCAGGAGGCTGGGAAGCCTTACTCAAGGACACTGTGGTGGGGCATGCGCTAGGGTGGAGGAAGATGGTGAAATTGGGGTTGAACACCCTCAAACTAGCTAAAAATCCCATTCTGGAGAGTAGGCTTGTTAGCAAAAACCTTACAGAGCAGGGAAGTAAAGTCCTTGACACATAAAAGCTACTTGCATGAGGGACAGTATTTCCTGCTCAGGTCCACTGCCATGAGCAGCTCAGAGGAGAGCATCAGGGGGAGCTTGTCACTCCGAGGTGTGCCAGCACAACAGCAAAAGCTAGTAGGGTATGGCAGCGGCTGCCTCACGGCTACTGGCAGGTACCTGAGGAGGGAGATCTCTGCTCCCCAGCATTTGCGGCGTGCTGGGAACCTGTAGCCCTCATTGCAGAGGCTTTAAGCGCATATCTGGGCATGCCTCAGTTTCCCCAGTGGTTTCTTAGAAGGCTTCTGGAGGACCATTGGTCCCGGTGCTTCGGTTCCTGCCGTGCTGAGGGTTCGGGGGCAGAAGGCGGCTCGGGAGAGCAGCTGAGAGAACACAGTGGCAGAGAGGCTGGGTGCCCGGCCGCCTTCTAAACTGCGGCAGCGGGGGCGAAGATGCTCTAGCCCGAGGGGGGCTGCGGCAGGGGCTGTGCATGTCCG